AGGGGGGAGCCCTGCTGCTGTGCCTGGCCCCCCGCTGCAGCCCCAGCGCCAGCCTCTCTCTGCTCTCTCGGGTCCCCTTCTCCGTAGTGTCCCTGGCGAGCGTATTGGCCTCGCTAGCGCCCGCAGCCTGACTCTGGGTGGGCCTGTCCTCCCGAGACCGCCTGGAATTCTGGGCCGTGGGCCAGAGCAGCCTAGCACAGCGCCTGGGACCCTCTCCTCCCGCGGGGACGGGCTCCTGGGTTGGGATTCTGGTGCTGCGGGTCCCCCCCCGACGGTCCCTCTCCGCGCAGGTAGTGGACTACTACAAAGAGGCCTGCCGGGCCCTGGAGAACTCGGACACAGCCGCGCTGCTGGGCAAGCTTCAGAAGGACTGGAAGAAGCTGGTGCAGATGAAGATTTACTATTTTGCTGCTATTGCTCATGTAAGCGGGACGGAGGCGGCTGCGCGCGGGGAGTCCCGCTCGCGGGCGGCTGCGGCCGTTTGGGCCCTCTGGGAGGGGGTGACCCCCTGGGCAGCGCTCCCGGGGCCTGGCGAAATTCAGCCTTCAGCCAGGAGCCCCCAGCTGGCTCGGGGGGCTGCAGGCAGCGTCGGGAACCCTCCAGCCATCCGGGGCGTTGTCTGTCTTTGCAGTTGCACATGGGGAAGCAGGCTGAGGAGCAGCAGAAGTTTGGCGAACGAGTGAGTAAAACTTGGCTGCCCCGTCCGGCGGGGGCTTGACCTTGAACCCCGCCAAGAGGCTGGGCACGTTGCGGGAACTCGACTCTCCATGGCCCTGAGGGCGCTCTTGGGGGCCCCCGCCTCTTCCCCACCAATCCGTGGGGCGCACGGCAGATCGGAACCCAGCGCCGGCACGTTACTGCCTGCGGTTCCCACGGGCCACGTTCTTGTGTCCCGTAACTCCCTCCGCGCCGGTGTCCTGGCTGTGCAGGGAACTGTCCCCGCCGGGGGGCAGAGTTAAGGCTGAAAGCGCGTCTGTACCGGGCGACGTGTCTTTCCGGCCCGGTTGTCAGGACAGAAACCACAGTGGCGGGACTGCTGTTTTCCATGCTGTGCGGGGCAGGCTTCTCGGCTCTCAAGTCCAGTCCACTATAGAACCTGGGCTGGAGGAACATGGCTCTGTGGGGCCATGTGTACAGCCTCTGTCTGTGGGGAGCTCAGACCTCCCCCCTCCCCCCAAACTGGGGCTGCATTTCCCATGTCTCTCCTCCTTGTGCTTGTCTTGTGGGCACCTTCATCTGGGTTGCTTGGTTGGGCTGTTAATTTGCTCCTGGCCCTGCTGTACTTAATGGTGCTAGGGATCCGATTAGAGGATTAATCAAGAAGCCTGGGCAGATCGCTTAGTCTTGTCACTACACATGTCTCCCCCCCACCCCCCGCTGCCTCTGTATCAGAGGCAGCAGGGCAGTGGGGCCAGCCACAGAAAGGGGGGGCTGGCTCCCCACAGAGCTGCCTACCCTCCCCATGCTCATGCTGCTGTCTCTGATACAGAGGCAGCAGAGTGGCGGGTGAGGGGGGCAGGCTGGAGCTGCTGTGTGTGGGGAGTCAGCTTTCAAGCCAGCTCCCTGTGCAGATCTGCTCCCACAGACCCGCCTCCCTCCCCCGCCTTGCTGCTTCCTACAGAGGTGGGGGAGAGGGCAGGCAGAAGCCAGTGCTGGGGGGAGCCGGCTTAAAAACCACTCCCCCCAGCACCAGCTCCGCTGTCTGCTGCCCCACCCCTGCTGCTGCCCCTGTCAGAAGCGGCAGGGCAGGAGAGGCTGGCCCTGTCCCAGGGGGATCTGAGCTCCCTGTGGACGGAGGCTGCTCCACATCCCATGGCGGGGGGTCTTGTTCCGCGGGGGCAGCCACTGTCGGAGCGGGGTCCGAGCTCTCCGCGGACGGAGGCTGCTCTGCATCCCACAGAGCAGCTTCTCTCTGTGGGGCGCTCAGACCCCTCATGAATGAACTGGGGCTGCTGCCATCCTGTGCCACTGCCTCTGGTTATAAACCAGCTCCCCTTGCGGACCGGCTCCCGCCTGGCTCCCTGTGCCGCTGCCTCTGGTTATAAACCGGCTCCCCTCGCGGACCGGCTCCCGCCTGGGTCCCTGTGCCGCTG